ACCTCACCAGAGCTGTTTCCCACCGCCGGTTACGGTGGAAGGACGGCCACGAGGAAACACAACATTTAAGAGTACGTAGTTTGTTACCAGTAACAGACAACCAAGAAGCCTGCCAACGGGTAAGGACGGAGGAATGGATAACCGGGTAAAAGTCGGAATACGGAATGCCTTTACGAGAGATGGGACAAGAGCGGACAGCTTCCTTGGCGGCAGCATCCGCACGCTCATTTAAAGACACACCAATATGGCTGGGAACCCAACAAAACTCAACCGACTTAAATTTACTGTGAACAAGAAACAGCCAATGCTGGATCTCGACAACTACTGGATCCAATAACCGAGAGCTATGAGGGCACTACGAGAGTCAACAACAACTACAAAGGAAGACTGACAACGAGAAAGCAGGAGACGAAGAGCATAGAGAATAGCATAAAGCTCCGCTGTAAAGATGCTAGTCTCCGGAGGTAAGCAACACATATAAGTGCAATCAGGAAAAACAACAGAGTTGCAAACACCCTCCGCAGACTTAGATCCATCAGTGAAGACAGAAACGGAGCGGGAGTGAGAAGAAAAGTGTTCAAGGAAAAGGCATTTTAGAACCGTAGGAGGGGTAAAAGCTTTAGTGATACGGATCAAGGATGTACAAAACCGCGGAAGAGGGACTCTCCACGGGGGCAAAGAAGGAACAACACGAGGAGAAACATTAGAAATACGAACGGAAAGAGAGTCCTGTAGGCGAGATAACCGGACAGAAAGAGGGAGGTGGTGAAGAGGAACAGGAACCGCAGGAGGGGTAAAAGTTAAAGCACGACAGAGGCGAGAGGAAGGATGTTGTAAGGACCGCGCAAGATAGCGAAGACAGTAGCGATCACGGCGGTTTTGGAGAGACAGGAAGCCAGTGTCAACATACAAGCTAAGGACGGGAGTCGAACGAAAGGCACCAGAACTGAGGCACAACCCAGTATGGTGCAAAGCATCAAGACAGTGAAGAGTAGAAGAAGCAGACGAGTAAGTAGGGCAACCATAATCGAGCTTAGACAGGACGAGAGAGGAATGTAAAGCAAGGAGAGTGCGCCTATCTGCCCCCCAGGAAGTATGGGACAAGACCCGAAGGAGGGTAAGGGCCTTAGAGCACTCAACACGGAGGTAAGAGATATGGGGAGACCAAGACAAACGAGTGTCAAGGAATAACCCCAAAAGCTTCGCGGAATCTTTGTACTCAAGGGGATGACCATAAAGTGACAAAGAGGGACAAAGAACGACTCGTTTCCGCGTAAAAGTCATGGCACAAGTCTTAGAAGTAGAGAACTTGAAGCCATGATCGGTGGCCCAAGATGACACGGCATCAATTGCAAGTTGAAGCCGGCGCTGAAGGAGAGGCGAATCATCACCCTGACAGCAAAAGGTAAGATCATCGACATAGAGAGCGGAGAAGACACCTGAAGGAAGAGAGGAAAGAAGACCATTGAGGGCAACCAGAAAAAGAGTAGTGCTCAGAACACTACCCTGGGGCACACCTTCGTATTGCTGAAAAGAGGCTGAGAGAGCGGTACCAAGGCACACCCGAAAGGAACGACGAGAGAGGAAGCTGCGGAGAAAGAGAGGGAGATGACCACGAAGGCCAAAAGAATGAAGTTGAGATAGAATATGATACCGCCAAGTGGTGTCGTAAGCCTTTTCCAGGTCAAAAAGGACGGCAACAACGGAGGTCTTCGCAGCAAAAGCAGTACGAATATAGACCTCCAAGTTCACCAGGACATCTGTCGTGCTGTGGCACTTGCGGAAACCAAACTGAGAAGGGGAGAGGAGGTGATGGTTTTCCAGGAACCACATCAGACGAACGTTTACAATACGTTCAAAGAGTTTGCAGACACAACTTGTGAGGGGCAATAGGGCGAAAGTCCTTAGGGGAAGTACCCAGAGACCCCGGTTTGCGAACAGGGAGGACAACGGCATCGAGCCAGTCCTTGCCGTGTTGAGAAAGCGGGACACTCGGGGGGAGATAAATGGAACAAACTGTGTACCATTCCCCACAAAGATACGAGCAGCAGAACAATGGAGAGGCGAAGGAAAAAGTAGAGGAACAAAGAGAACATCAGCACGAATCAAGAGAGCAGAAAAATTAGAAGCCCCAGCAACGGCTGGGGGGGGGGGGAGAGAAAGGAATAGCCACGAAAACGACCAGGACGAGCACCAAGCATCGGCTCCTGGAGACAGACACAAAGGGGCGAAAACCGCGAAATCAGAAGTTAGAGTTCGAGGAAATTGGCGTAATAACCTCGAACGTTCCATTGAAGAAGAGACATCGACGAGAAGAGAAAGGACAAAAACAGAGAACAAGGAAGAAAGAAAGGTGAAAGAGCAACAGCACGTTAAAGAATATCAGGGTCAGCAAAGTCAGGGTTAGGGGGCATGGGTAAACTGAGCAAAGATGGAGGGAAGGAGGCGGGAGAACAGACCAGAGGTGGGCGGGCAGGGTCCGAAGGAGGAAGAGGAAGAGACAACGGAGGGGAGCAGTCAAGGACAGCAGCAGGAAGAGGGGGGTAGAAAGAGGGGAGCGCACCTCAGCAAGGGCAGCAACCGAGAGGGAAGCGGGGGCTAAAGAAACCTCCATAGCAGGAACTGGGGGCGCAACCACCGAAATGGGAGGGGAAGGAGCGAGAGAGGCAGAAGTAGGGGCCGAGGATGAAAGCGAAACCTTCTTACCCGCCGGGGAGGAGGAAGGAGAGGAGCCAGGCTTACGCTTCTGACTTAAAGAGACATGTGTCCCAGCAACCACTTACTGGGCAACGGATTCTAGCGTCTCAACAGGAGAAGCTGAACGAGAGCACACATGACGGCCGTTCGGAGAGCGATGCACATCAGCCCGCACCGACAGGCGGCGGGGAGAGTCAAGAGATGGAGGGGAAGGATGGGAAGGAGGAACGGAGGGAGACGAGGAAGAAGACACAGGAGACACGACAGACCGGGTAGAAAGAAGGGGAACCCCAGACAGAGGACCAGGAGGTGGATCCTTCGGGAGAGAACCCAAAGGAACAGAGGAGGGGGCAGTGGACGTATCAGGGTCCAAGGCCCGGAAACGGTTGCGAGTCTGAGGAAGGTGGGAAGGACGAGGAGAGGAAGAGTGCAACACGCGAGCATAAGAGAGATTAGCATAAGGCTGGAGCCGGCGAACCTGGCGTCTCGCCTCAGGAAAAGATAAACGCTCCCGGTGCTTCAAGTTGAGGACAGCTGCCTCAAGCTTCTAATGGACACACGCACGGGAGAAGGTAGGATGGGCCTCACCGCAGTTGAGGCAACGAGCCTGGGGAGAAGTGCACTCCGACTTAGAGTGACCTTCGCCACCACACAAAGGACAGATAGAGACAGTCCCGGAGCAGCGGAGGGCACCATGCCCAAACCTCCAGCACTTGTTACAGAGCCAAGGAGAAGGAATGTACTCCTGGACAGAGCACCTGGCACCAGCAAGAATGACAGAGGGTGGAAGGGTCCTACCATCAAAGGTAATCTTCACAACCCGGAGGGGTTGACGGCGACTACCACGAGGGGGACGAGGGGTAAACGTGTCCACCTGGAGAATAGAATGGCCCTGGGCAGCAAGGATATGTCGAATATCGTCGTGACAGTCGCGCAGGTCCCGAACACCGGTCGCAACATGGGGCGGGAGCAGAATAGTGCCAACACTGGCATTCAACTGAGCGTTCTTCGAGACCCGAAGAGGGGTCTCGCCAAGGCAGGATAAGGCAGCCAAGCGGGAAGCAGCATCCTGAGAAGGAGCAGCAACGACACGTGTACAGAGATGAGTGGGGTTGAAAGTAATGGAGGCATCCATGGAATCAACGAGATGTCGATGGAGGGAGAAATCGCCAGGAGGCGCAGAATCAAGAGGGAGGAGATCAAAATATTTGGCCCACGAAGCGGGACCAAACAAGGCTTGATAGGTAGCAGAACAGGAAGGAATCGAGCGAGGGCGGCCGTGACGAGGACGGCAGTGAGAACCACCAGAGAGAGAGGGGTTAAAAGGCGCAGTAGTTACAACTAGAGATGGAGCAGCGCCAGGGGACGAGGAAGTCACCACTGGGGGCTTGGGGCTCGACCCAACCACAGAGGAGGGAGGGGAGCCAGGGGAAGGAGTCAGAGAGGCGATAGGAGGAGCAAGGTCGGGGCCCAATGCAGCGGAGGCTACAGAGCCCGGTCTTCCAAGACAGGCTGACTCGGGGGCTTGGTCGCCCACCCCACGAGCCTGAGAGGGTACAACAAAATCATTCAACGACATAGGTATGAAGAGTGATAAATTCATCTACGAAAGTGCCCCCATACCCACCATGGAGCCACAATTAGAGGCAGGACACCCAACAGGAAGCTATCGCCGATCATGCCGGGGCCCCCTAGGGGTGCGTCGTGAGTATACGCCCCACAAACGCCACCTTAAGAACCGTCAGTCCGTCGAGATTGGGTTCAGCGAAGAAAGGGGGATTGACAATAAAAGGTTCCCCTCGCTCGGGACGTTGGGTACTATAGTTCTACGGGTGTAAGAGTATGCCTCCTCAAGCACCCGGGCGTCAAAATAGAAGTAGTCCAAAGAAACAATCCAAAACAAGCAAAAGGTCGGCAGGAAACGACAAGCAGATAGGAGAAGAGGGGGAAGAAAAACGAAACATAATGAAAAAGGAAAAGCGATCCAGCACAATTAGAGAAGACAGCAGCAGGAGTGCAAGGCAGGAAAAGGACAGAGGACTGTCCCACGGAGCATCACACATCAGCAGCCGTCCATGAAGCCCCCTCACGACGCCAACGGGCCGGATGGGGAGGGGGGGATGCAAATAGCTTTGACTACCAGTTTGTCAAGAACAGCATCTTAAATGCATATCAGTTAAACCCTGTGGCATATCGACAGAAATTCAGAAATTTAAAGAGGGTACATGAACAAACAATTGGTGATTTCACCAGGTTGAAAACTAATTATTGTAACAGTTGGCTTAAATCACTTTCTATTACAGAGCTTGATGCTCTTAAATGTCTTCTCATTACAGAAGAGGTTTTATCATGTCTCCCAGATAAATTATCTACTTTTATGGTGGAACAGAAAAGCACCACAGATATTAATGGGCTGTCTAAGCTCGCTGATGAGCATGAATTGTTATCAAGAGCACATTTGAAAGCCCAATCAAATAATTTTACAAGTAAAATATAATGCTCACAGAAATACTTATCAGCACAAACCCAGTACTAATTCTCCAGCTACTCCCATGAACTCTTCTCTTACAAAAACTAAGCTTGATAAACCATTAACAGGGACACCAAACCCTAGTAATGTGAATTCTAAATCTGCAGTAGGTTCAACAGATCCGTTCAACACTCTGATATTGCACTCACTGTAAGAGGAAAGGACATGTGATTAATTCTTGTTTTAGTTTGCATCCAGAATTAAGACCAACTGGTCTCATTATGCGTAAAGGGTTACACACAAATAATTCACCATGTATTTCAATCAATCCCAATTGGATGACTGCGTACAAACCATATATTTCTACAGGTACATTACTGTGTAAAGATGGTAGTAAAAAGACTGTTCAATTACTTCGTGATACTGGAGCTTCACAGCCTTTAATTTCTAATAATGTGCTTGTTGATGTTGATACAAGAGATCATGGTGAGGTTATACTACTCCAAGGTATTGCAGGTAGTGTGCAACAAGTATCTTTAATACATATTAACCTTGATTTCACCTATACTTCTGGATGGTGTAATGTTGGTGTGAGTAAACAGTTGGCCATTCCAGGAGTGGATATTACTCTAGGGAATGATTTTGGGAAGTAGACCAGGGGTGGGCAACCTCTGGCACGCGTGCCAAACTTGGCACGCCGATGACTTGTCTCTGGCACGCAAGAGCATAGGTTACCCTAAGCACAGATGCAAGCACATGTTACCCTAAGCACAGACAAAAAAAACTACTTTCCTTGGGGTATAAGCTTACATGCCATGACAGTATATGTACGTCCTGGTGGTGAAGAGGTTTAAGCTCTACGAAGCTAAAGAGGTCTCAAGAAAAAGAAGTTGATCTTGTTGCCATAGTTACCTTCTTTTTTTACGTCATCGATCATGCCGATGTATGATGATTCCCCTCTATTTACTTTGGCTCATATTTTATGTAATAAGCCTTTCTAACCTAAAGGCTGCACCCATAACCATAGTGTACACTGACAATCATATCTGTGAAGGCAAAATACGCCATGCCTGCCCACCTTTAAAAATTAATTTCGTAAACTTTGAATTTAAACCCCCACAACATCTCCCCCCCCCCTAAACCTCATGTGTTTGAATGCCGCCCGACTTCAGTTTGACGCATATTAATTAAACTCACTTTACTATCTAAATCTAAAGCATCTTCACCTTCGAAAGCTAAAGAAAGATAAGAATTCTTATGCTCTCCCCTTCTCTCCATTGACGGCCGTAATATAACCAGTGAAATCAACAGTCCCCCACCCCCATGAAGTCCCCGTAATGAACACATGTTCAGACGATCTCAGACTCGTAACTCTCTCTCGCAGTCTTGCTTCGTAGTGTTTCTCACAGTTGCTCACTTGCCTCCTCCCCGAGAAGAAGGTCAGTACTTCATCTCCAGGTGAAAATTATTCCCCTTATAAATCAATAACTTTGTGAAACTCAATATCATTGTAAGAATAGTCTTAATCCTTAAATTCACACGTACTCGCTCGCCTGCTCCCTAAGAACAGAGCTGACATAAGCAAGATGTCACCGACTCAACGATGTTTCGCCACAACACACCACACAAACACACAAAAACGGGTTTTGTCTATCGAACCAAGTGAAGTCTTATAAACTCTTGGCATAAGTACTCAATGCCTAGGAAGTAGTGTCTTTGTGATAAGCGGCTGCTGGTGTTGTTTCTGGAATTATGTAAAATAAAGAAAACCCTCGAATTTTCATAAAAGAAAAAAAAATCCTCTGAAGATTTTTATTATGTTCATTGTCTCGTCACGCTTACCTCAAACATTGGCTTATTAAACTTATTGATTGGTATTAGAATAAACGTACATATACTTTACTACAAAGTTTGTGTGTGCTATAATATTAACAGGAAATAAATAATTCTTTAAATACTCGCATTTCAGTAGAAGTAGGCTAATTCATTTCTCGTCACTGCACTTCACAACGACAACACAATCCGTTATCATTGCTATTCATTGGAGTTACTCATCATATACTATTTTGACTTACTTTTGATCTTCCTTCTCTTCCATGCATATCAATATATTACTTATTTTAATTTCATGCCCTTTACAGATTGTACAGAATGTCACCACCACCAGCTAAGAAACGATGTCAGTCAAATGAAGAGGATATTAGAGAATTTAAGGAATACTGGACTGAAAAGTTTGGCATGATTAAGAAGGATGATAAAGCTTTATGCATTTTCTGTTCTGACACAGTTGTTTGTAGAACTTCTTCTGTAAAGAGACATTTTGAAAATGTTCATAAGAACTTAAGCAATAAAACTGAGGAGGAACAAAGAGAATTAATTTCTCGTGAACTGAGCAAGACAAAAACACAAGCTGAAACTTTTATGAATTATATTTCAGGTAGGCCCAGTTCCAACTTAGTTGCTGCTAGTTTTGAAGTTTCAAAAGTTATTGCCCAACACGGAAAGCCTCTCTGTGATGGGGAGTATATTAAAGAAGCTTGGCTAGAATGTGCACCTTTTCTTTTTGACAACTTTTCAGAAAAGAAAAAGATTATTCAGCGCATTAAAGATTTGCCTGTGAGTAGGAAAACAGTTAAGGATAGGATACTTAAGTTGGAAAGAAATACAGCTGAACAATTGACAAAAGATTTGTCTTCATGCAAGTTTTTTTCTATTTGTGTTGATGAAAGTACAGACATTACATCATCAGCTAGGCTAGCCATATATTCTAGATTTTGTAGGGGTGATGAAGTATGTGAAGAGATGGTTGCTCTTGCATCACTACCTGAGCGTACTACCGGGGCTGAAATATGTAAAACAGTTGTGAACGAATTCTCTACTCGGCAAATTGACATTTCAAAAGTAGTATCCGTCACAACAGATGGTGCCCCAAACATGACTGGTGAGAAGGCAGGATTTGTAAATCTGTTTGCAAAAAGTGTTGGTCATCCACTGATTGGCTTCCATTGCATCATACATGAGGAGGCTTTATGTGCAAAAGCTGGCCTAAAGGAACTGCAAGAAGTGATGCAAACAGTTACCAAGGTTGTTAATTACATTTGTGGTCGGCCTTTAAATAAAAGACAATTTCAAACTCTACTGGATGAGGTAGAATCTGTGTATAAAGGACTGAAAATGTACAACCATGTTCGTTGGCTTAGCAGAGGCTTGGTTCTGAAACGATTTATTGAATGCTTAGATGAGATAAAGCTCTATTTGAACGACCAACAAGTGTCATACCATGAATTTTCTGACATCGTGTGGGTTTGTAAACTGATGTTTTTTGCAGATTTTTGTGAACATTTAAATGAATTGAATATTAAGTTACAGGGCTCTGGTAAGACACTTGATGTTATGTTTTGTTACATAAAAGCTTTTGAAATGAAGCTTAAAGTTTTTAAGAGGGATGTAGATAATGAGAGATTTAGATACTTTCCAAACCTAAAGAGGTACATCAGTGATCTAAAAGATGACAGAACAGACCACAAATGTCTTCAAAAGCTGTTTGTAAACATTATCGAGTCAACAGTTTGGCAGTTCTCTACAAGATTTGCCAAATTCAGAGAACTGGAAGACACAGTAAAGTTCATCAAGTTTCCAGACAGCATCAAAATGGATGAACTAAACTTGCAAATGTTTTCATGGATAGACATGGATGATTTTGAGATGCAGTTGATTGAATTTCAGAGTAGCTCAATTTGGAAGCAGAAATTTGTTGACCTTAGAGTTGACTTGGAAAATATTGAAAGAGAGAGATTAGAGATGAAAGTAACAAAGAGAAATGCGGAAAACGAAGTATTAAGGACTTGGAATACTATTCCAGAAAATTATGTCTGTTTAAAAAACCTTGCAACAGCATTGCTAACCATGTTTTCGTCTACATATGCTTGCGAATCTTTGTTCTCAATTATGAACTTTGTTAAGTCTCGTAACAGGAGTAGCATGACAGATGAAACTAGCGCTGCATGCATATCTCTCAATGTTACTAAATATAAACCCGATGTAAAATCTCTGTCATCAGTTATGCAGCAGCAGAAGTCTCACTGACAGTATATAAAAGGAGTCAACAAGTTTTTTATCTGTTGTATTCTATTAAAGTCACAAAAGCTTAAAGGCTGTTGAAATGTACTTCTGAAGGTTAAATAAAAAAATTTTTTTTTCTGTTTTTTTTATACTATGTTTTACTGCACTGAGGTAATTTATTATTTTTTCGTTTAAAAAGTTCTTAAGAGATACCAAATATGTTCTAAAAAAAATGGTTGGCACGTGGAAAAAGTTTGTATCAGAGACTTGGCTGATTTTGGCACGCACTCTCAAAAAGGTTGCCCAACCGAGCCGCCGGGACACTAAAGCCCCGAAATCATCTCAAGATAGCCTCAAGATAACAACCGTTGATGTGTTCCCATTACCACTTTTAGAAGAATGTATAGACAAGATTGGAAATGCTCAATATGTGTCAAAACTTTATTTGTCTAAGGGTTACCATCAGATTTATCCAAGTGATTATGCTAGGGAAGTGACAGCCTTTATTAAAACTGATGGTGCTTATGAATTTAACGTAATGCCTTTTGGTTTGTGAAATGCACCTGCCACTTTCCAAAAACTTATGAATTGTTTGCTCAAGGACATGCCAAATTGCAGGGTATACCTAGATATAGTCTTGTATAATAAGTGTTGGACAGACCACCTGTCAGGTCTAAAGAAGGTAAGGTAATTATCAAAAGAAGGCACCAAACCGGGAAGGCTATGTAGCACCATCAAAGTGCGAAATAATCAGAGGGCGCTAAATATCGCCATGAATGCCAATACGAGAACAAAAACGCATAAGGCGAACGATATCAAAAGTATCCAATTCACCTAGAATTCTATCGAGGGACAAGTGACCGCGAGGGACGGTCGGAAAGCAAGACACAGGCTTGTCCTGGAAGTCAAGACATTCAACAAGGATATGCACAACTGTAAGAGGGACAACGCAATTCGGACAATAAGGAGCAGGGCGGCGCTCCATTAATTGACCGTGGGTTAAGCGAGTATGGCCAACCCACAGCCGTGCCAAAGCAGTTTCCCACCGCCGGTACGGCGGTAGGAAGAAGGCCACGGGGACACACTACGTTTGAGAGTACGCAGCTTGTTACTAACCACAGAGGACCAACAACCCTGCCAACGAGCAAGGATGGAGGAATGAATAACAGGATAAAAGTCGGAATAAGGAATACCTTTACGGGAGATGGGACAAGAACGAATAGCTTCCTTAATTAGCGGCAGCATCCGCACGCTCATTGAAAGAAACACCAATATGGCTGGGAACCCAGCAAAACTCTACTGATTTAAATTTACTAGAAATAAGAAACAGCCAATGTTGAATCTCGATGACAGGATTAAAGGACCCTAGAGCCATGAGGGCACTACGAGAGTCAACTACAACCACAAAGGAGGAATGATAATTAGAAAGCAAGAGACGGAGAACATAGAGAATAGCATAAAGTTCTGCTGTAAAGACGCTAGCCTCTGAAGGGAGGTGACACATATAAGTACGGTCAGGAAAAACAACAGAGTAGCCCACACCGTACGCAGACTTAGACCCATCGGTGAAGATGGAAATAGAGTGGGAGTGCAAAGAAAAGTGCTCAAGGAAGAGGCTTTTCAGAATTGTAGGAGGGGTAAAGGCTTTAGTAATACAAGTCAAGGAAGGAACAATATAAGGAGAAACCTTAGAAATATGAACAGAAAGAGAATCCTGTAAGCGAGATAACTGGACAGAAAGAGGGAGACGATGAAGAGAAACAGACGCTACCGGTGGAGGAAAAGTCAAAGCACGACAGAGGCGTGAGGAAGGATGTTGTAAGGACTGCGCAAGATAGCTAAGACAGTAGCGATCATGGCGGTCCTGAAGAGAGAGAAAGCCAGTGTCAACATACAAACTGAGGGCGGGAATCGAACGAAAGGCACCAGAGCCGAGACACAACCCAGTATGGTGCAAAGCATCAAGACAGCGAAGAGTAGAAGGAGAAGCAGAAGAGTATGCAGGGCAACCATAATCGACTTTAGACAGGACGAGAGAGGAGTGCAAATAGAGGAGCGTGCACCTATCCGCTCCCCAAGAAGTATGAGATAAAACCTTAAGTAGGTTAAGGGGCCTTAGAGCATTCAACTAGGAGGTAAGAGATATGGGCTGGCCAAGACAAACGAGTGTCAAAGACTAACCCAAAAAGCTTTGCGGAATCCCTGTACACAATGGGATGACCATAAAGCGACAAAGAGGGACGAAGAACGACATGCTTCCGAGTAAAAGTCATAGCACAAGTCTTAGACGCAGAGAACTTGAAGACATGATCGGTGGCCCAAGACGACACGGCATCAACAGGACTTGAGGACAAGGACTGCCTTGTGAGGCAGTCCTATAGCGATTTTGTGTGCAGTCCTATAGCGATTTTGTGTGTTTTTATATTGGCATGACTATGGAATTGCAGGTTTGTTTGGGGAGGAGTTGATAGAACTTCGAGGCCAGGGAAGAAGTTAAGGGAGGAAACTTCGAGGCTGGAGGAGTGTATGCTGAACTCTGTGGGAAAGCAGAACTCCAGAGTGAGAAGTTGGCCTCAAACAATGGAAAGGAGCAGAGAAGAGGAGTTTCCATGTGTCTCCGTGGAATCAGTGAAGCATCACTGGTGTTTGAAGAGGACTTCATTGTGCAGCAGTTTGGGAGAACTGCAGAAGTGTCTTGTTGAACATTTTGGAGGACCTAGAGATGATAGTGGTAGTGAGCCTCTAGGAGCAGAACATAGGTTTATGGTGGATACACAGGAAAGTATAAAGGTAGTGCTTGAATACTTATTGGCATGTAAGACGCAGTGTAAGGTGAGAGATTGATTTCTTCTTGTGTCGGGGAATAATTATGTAGATGTTTTTGGTCTTTCAGCCCCAATGTGCGTTTTTTAGGGTTGAGTGTACAATATTGTTGTGATGAGATTTCAACCCCATTTAGTGAGGAAGTGGTAAGCCAAGAGTTGAGCAGCCACTTGATATGGATAGTGGGTGAAGCCAGGGTATGATACTGGATTGCTAGCAGGCTGTAGCAGCTTAAGAGTGTTGTATGATAATATCTTATTTCTTTCATATCATGTATTGGTATATGTTTTTCCGTTTATTAAATGGGTATTGTTAGCTGGCTTTCGCTCTTGTCCTGGTGAGGCTTCCAGAAAGCAGGAGAGAGGGAAAGGATCACGGCTGCAGACAGGGTGGTAGAAAATTCTAATTCACAAAAGGGGGATTTAGGAGATCATTCCAAACAAGGAGAGAGTGGGGGAGTCACGGCGGCTCAAATAGGGTGTGTGTACACGAGACAACGAGGCCAGTGTTGGAGTCGCACCCCTTAATATGTGATGTTGAATCCCTCTCCAAGATCAAGAGGTGTACAGGGTGATCTGAGTAAATTGCAAGCACTCCAGTGTTCGTTGCTGGTCGACCAATGGTAGCGGGAGTGTGGCTGCCAAGGTCGGTTGTCTGTTCCCGCAGAGTGGTTGGGGGACGTTGTCTGCCTGTACGCAAGTAACAGTCTGGTGCAACAACCAGAGCTCTCTTTGGAGGTTTAAGTTCCATAAGCCCCAACCCCCTCAGGCCAGAACATGGAGCAGTGCCGACGACAGTGCTACCTACTGCCTTTGTTGTGACATTGCCCACCACAGTGCAACCTACTGATGGGACAGTGCCACATACTGCCATTAATGGGGCAGTGCCCAACACCTCACATGACGCTTTGGCAACTCCCAGAGTTTCCAAAAAGGGTAAAGATACCCAGAGCAGTGCCACAAAACGATTGTAATTATTTAGACTAGACACAGAAGAAACAAATGGCAGTGACAGTGAGTGGGAAGAAATTAATTATAAAATAAATTCACATGAGACAGTGCTAATGGTGACAGATAGGGAGCTTGAAAAGTACCTAAATGATAATTATAGATGTGAGTATTGCTCACATTCTACACAACATCATACATTGAAGATTGATCACCATGATGTACAAGTGACCAAGAGCTGTAGTGACTGTAATATTACAGTTTCACGAGTACTGATGGAAAATCATGAGAATTTGAAGATATTGGTGTACTCCAACATGCTAAATAACCAAGGATACATATTTTACAAGAGTATGTGTTCCAGAAATATAATGAAATTTGTGCGACAGCAGGTGTATATCAGGTGGCAGAATCATGTAAGAGATCCTGCTAATATGAAATGGGAGAAAGTACAAGAAAACACTCGCACTATCATATTTGACCATTACAAAAAACAGCTACATAAGACACCCCATTAATGGCTTCCTTGACATTGATGTGTCCTTTGATGGATCTTGGCATACAAGGGGCGATCATTCACAAATTGGCACTGCTTTTGTTGTAGAAATATTCACAGGCACGGTTGTGGGACCTTAAGTGTCCAAGCATGTCATAGCACAATCAAAGTAACCAACCCAAATCGACTCATTCCATCGTAAACTAAATTCAAAACAAACATCTCTGGCTGTGAGAACCAGTGCATGCTGCCCACCACCGCGCTGCCTGACGCAAGTTTCCACCACAACATATACTCCAGTCATCCTCGACCTATCATGTCTCCCAGGAACAAGACTGTGCAGGTCAATAAGAGCAACAAAGCCCCTAACAAATCATCCATCACGACAAATACTGACAGTCATAGTGTTTCTCCCT